TCAAGATGTTAAGATCTGACAACGGCGACGAGTACACTTCAGACCCCTTTCAGCAGCTATGTTGAGATGAGGGCCTAGAGAGACACTTCACAATTAGTCATACATCATAGCAGAATGGGATGACAGATAGATTGAATCGGTTTTTACTGGAGAAGGTCCGATGTTTGTTATCACAGAGTGGTTTGGAAAATATCTTTTGGGCTGAGACACTTTCATATGCGAGCCAACTCATTAATAGGCTGTCTTCATATGCGATTGAGGGGGAAACTCTTATGGAGATGTGGTCGAGAGAGCCGACACGCGATTATGATCAGCTCAAGGTATTTGGATGCCCTGCATTTTATCATGTGAAGACTGATAAATTAGAACCTCGAGTTAGGAAGGCCATATTTGTTGGATTCAAGCATGATGTGAAAGGATACAAGCTTTGAGATCTAGTTGATAAGAAGATTGTGCTGAGTAGAGACGTCAATTTTGATAATGCTTCGATCTTAAAGCTTCCCAACTCTCATCAGGTGGAGGGCACCTCGACAGAGGATATATCACAGATGGTGAAGATTGATGCAACTCCACAGTATCCAGATGGTACCGTATCCATTAGAGTGCCGACTGAGGTGACGCCAGGCGAGCACAACGATGATTTGGAGGATACAGGTACAGCAGAGCAGAATCAGGACCGATAAGCTCAAGTTTAGTATTTGATTGCGGTTCGGAGACCCAGGAGAGACATACGGTTGCCAGTAAGGTATACGAATACAGTCATTGCTTATGCACTTCCGGTAGATAGTGTCAATAAGATGGTTCTTAATACATTCAGAGAGGCTGAGCAGAGTTCAGAGGCTGGTTTGTGACAGGAAGCTATGCAGGAGGAGATTAAAAGGGACGGAAGGTTATTGGTTGCAAATGAGTGTGTACGAAGAAGGAGGGCATTGAAAAGGCACTCCGATGAGGTTCAAAGCTAGGTTGGTAGTGAAGGGCTATGCATAGGAAGAAGACATTGATTACAATGAGGTCTTTTCTCCGGTGGTGAAGCACTCTTCGATTCAGATCTTGCTAGTTTTTGTGGCACAATATGGTTTGGAATTGGATCAATTGGATGTAAAAATATCATTTCTTCATGGTGATCTTGATGAGAAAATCTATATGACTCAGCTATTGGGTTTTTGAGCTACAGGGAAGGAGAAATTGGTTTGCAAATTGAAAAAATCATTATACAGTTTGAATCAATCTCCGCAATAGTGGTATAGGCGATTCGATGGGTTTATGCTCGGCCATTCGAACATTAGGAGCCAGTTTGATCATTGCGTGTACTATCACAAGTTGTAAGGAGGTGCGTATATTTATTTGTTGCTTTATGTCGATGACATGTTGGTTGCTTCTATTTCCAGATCCGCTATAGATGAGTTGAAGGTACAACTTTCAAAAGAGTTTGAGATGAATGATTTAGGTGAAGTGAAGCGCATTTTGCGGATGGAGATCGATAGAGATAGAGATAGGGGCAGAATTTATTTGACACATGTGGCTTATTTGAAGAAGGTGCTACAACGGTTTAATGTGAGTATGGAGACAAAGCCAGTTAGTATACCATTGAGAGCCTATTTGAAGATTTCAGCATACCTTTCACCGAAGATAGTTGAAGATAGAGAGTTGATGTTGAAGACTCCTTATGCGAGCGCAGTGGAAAGTTTGATATACACTATGGTTTGTATGAGACCAGATTTGTCACATGCAGTGAGCATGGTTTCGAGATACATTCACAACCCGGGTCCGGGTCATTGGGATATCGTGAGATGGATTTTGAGGTACATTCGAGGTACTCCCAACGTTAGTTTGATTTTTGAGCGGGACACTAGCGGTGAGCAGCTATGTATTGGATACGTAGATTCGGACTACGCTGGAGATTTGGATAAACATCGGTCGACGACGGGGTATGTGTTCACTTTGACCCGTGTGTCGGTGTGTTAGAGATGCACCTTGCAGTCTACTATAGCTTTGTCGATGACGGAGGCAGAGTATATGGCGATTACGGAGGCTGTTAAGGAGGCGATTTGGCTTCGAGAACTTTTGGATGATCTTGGTGTTTCGTAGCGATCCGTCACTATTTATTATGATAGCATGTGTGCTATTTATTTGGTGAAGAATCAGGTCTTTCATGCGAGGATGAAGCATATTGACGTTTGTTATCACTTTGTTCAGGATGTTCTTAAAGATGGGGATGTGGAGCTTATGAAGATTCACACAAAAGATAATCCAGCGAATATGCTCACGAAGGTGGTTCCGAGCAATAAGTTCGATCATTGTAAAAACTTATTGCACATTCGTGATTGTTGAGGCCTTTCGAGGCTATTTGGATGAACTGTGGGCGGCTTGATCCCTTGGGAGAGGGGGTATGTAGGCAATCATACTGGTATACCTGGTTTTGGCGAGACGATGCATTGGTGCTCATGTTGGTGTCAGCTCAGTTTTGGGAACACTTCGTCGAGATGGAGAATTGTAGAAAACGGCGTCGAATTGTTCAAAATGTTGGAAAACGTGAAAATTCAGCGGCCACAGGTGTAGTACGTGCCACACCCATGTGTGGCAGAACCTATCTGCTACAATTCATCATCAGGTATGTAGTGCGTGCCACACCCGGATGTGGCAGACACGTTTTTTGATTCCCAACCTGTTTAGCATTGTGTTTTGATATAAATAAAAACACGTCTTTCTAGGGTTTAGGAGAAGAGATAATCAGAGAAAATTGGTTATTTTGAGCACTTTGAGAGGGAGATTATTGTGAGGGAGTGTGAGATCATTGGTTGGGTTATTTTGAGAGTTTTTTGAGCACTTTGAGAGGGAGATTATTGTGAGGGAGTGTGAGATCATTGGTTGGGTTATTTTGAGAGTTGTTTGAGAGATTGTAACCCTGAGGGAGTGTGAGATCATTGGTTGGGTTATTTTGAGAGTTGTTTGAGAGATTGTAACCCATTGTTTCTCTTGCATATAGTGAAATCTTCTCATTCTTTTCTCGTGGATGTAGGCAATTTGCCAAACCATGTAAATCTCTGTGTTTGTGTGATTTTGGTTGTTATTTTGTGAATCGCACTCGCATTTGGTTCTTCTCTCATCGCTCGCCGACTCATTTGGTTTGTGAGCACGCTTCCGCATAGCGCGTGATACAGATAGTATTTCTTTTAAATGAAAATTCCATTAGGACAAAATTGGATAACACTTACTCGATTTACTTGGGTTCATAATAGAATGTCTTTTACTCCAGCAATACATACATTTTACACCTTCAGGGTCTGTTAAAGTGAACTGACATGGCATAATGAAACCGTTCATCTTCTGGGCAACTTAGGGGCTGTTTGGTTGTATGTTTTTACTATGTAAAAGGATAGAAAGTGTAAAAAAGTGGGTCCCAATGTTAGCTTTCATCACTTTCAATTGTTTGTTTATAGTTGTGAAAATAGTGTAAAGTAATTTCATATGCTGATGTGGCTTGTAAAGTGATTTCATAAAAAAAGACATGATTTTAGGAGAAAGCTGACATTGAAGTTAGGAAAAAATAATAAAAAATAATTCCAACCAATATGATCATTTGAGTAGGGACCACTTTTTACACTTTCCAAACAAACAATTAAAGTTACATTTACTAACCAAACAAGCAATTTATGATTCCAATAGAATCAAAAACAAACAAAGAAAAGTATAAAAGTAAAATTGATAAAGTGGATAACAACTTTCCAAGTTGTGTCATAAATACACAACTTTACCAACAACAAACAAACAGCCCCTTAGAGAAGAGGTACCGCCAAAAAAGAAATTTGTTTTGGTCTAGTTGGAAGCAAAATGTTACCATTTTCAGTACAAAAAGTGCCAACAAAAACGTAAGAATCATGCATTTACGGCAATTTTTTATCAAAGAGAAAAAACACCATGACTGTTTTTACTAGTTCAGCGCCATGTGTCACATTTTAATGCAGTAAATATACCTAGTTGATATACTGACTGTTTTGCTAATTATTTAGCAAAATCGACCTCTTTGACCAACATGCTAAAAAGATGTCAGTTTCGCAAAATTAAACTTCTGAAACATACGGGACTAGTAGTCTTGTATGTTTAGTGGCTAGTAATTGTCCACTAATCTTGACTCAGAAAACCTACAGGACTAGTAGTCCCATGGATTTTCTAAACTGTGCGAAGAAAACACACGGGACTACTAGTCCCATGCGTTAAGAGGAGACTTGGGCGAAAGTATGGCGCTATCACCCAGCAAATCCACGAGACTAGTAGCCCTGTGGATTTACTGGGCACACCAGAAACGTGCACAGAGCATGCACATGCTATATCGCTTCATATACATTGCTTGGCAGACCTGTTTGGGCTACAAAAATATAACATCCACTTCATATAATTGTTATACAGTATAATATTTATATAGTTACAAAATTTAAGAAATAAACACTGAATAAAAATACATTTAATGAATTCATAACATCACAACACAATTATATGAAGATCTGAAATTCTTCGGCGTCGGAGAGGATAGACCGCGTCAAACTTCAACAATGCTGGAGTGAACTTTAGGGAAGATCTCTATTTGGGTTTGAAGAGAATGAGTTTGGTGAGAATAAGAGAGAGAAAAATGAGGAAGAAAGAGGTGCTTTTGAAGAGAATAAATGGAATGGGGTGGATGAAAATCGGGTTTGGAGAGGTGAGAGATAGGGAGGGAGAGAGAGATGAGGCTATACCCTAATTTTTGGGTACATTGGCTACTAGTCTTGAGGGTTTTTTGAGTTAAGCTTAGTAGCAAATTACTGATCATTAAACATACAGAACCAATAGTCTCGTATTTTTACAGAAGCCTATTTTTACGAAACCTATTTATTTTTTATCTGTTGGCCCAAAAAAGATCAGTTTTATTAAATAATTAGCAAAATAATCAGTTTTACTACTTATTTAGCTAAAAAAGGTCTCCTTGAAAAAAAAATCCATTTGGATTCTCAAAATTTCCTCAACTAAATTCACTGTATTTTCTCTCTTATTCTCACCGACCTCCCTCTCCAAGTGTAACTTCTCTAACCCTCTCAACAACTATTAAAAACCCTTTCCTTCAACAATCCCCCACCTCTTCTCAAGGTATTTGCCTTTTTCCTCCCTAATTTGTGCAATTCTAGCAAAAAAGGAAGCACCTTTCTGCCAAATTCCATCAAGATGTGCGGTGGCGCCATCATCTCCGGCTGCATCTCTCCATCTAACGGGCCGAGGAGGGTCACCGCCGGCGACCTGTGGCCTCATCTGAGCAAGGGACAGCTGTATGGCTCTCAGAAGAAGTTTGTAAATGATCGGGCGGTCGAGATTGAACAGGACGATGATGACGTTGATTTTGAAGCTGATTTCCAAAAGTTCAAGGATCGTGAGCAGGAGGAGTTTGATGAGATTAAGCCCTTGTCTTTCCCCACGAAACCAGCTGCTGCTAAAGGTATTATAGATTTTAATTGGTTAATTTCTGTCAAAGTTTTAATTTTTATACTGGGTTTCTGGTTGATTTTGGGGTTCTGGAAATGAGTTTTTTTTATAATTTGGGGATTTGATGGGGCTTTTTTGTTCTTTTTAATTGATGCTAATTTGAGTTATTTATTGGATTTTGTTCGTTGGGGTTTTTTTGATAATTTGGGAATTTGATGGGGCTTTTTTGTTCTTTTTAATTGATGCTAATTTGAGTTACTTATTGGATTTTGTTCGTTGGGGGGTATTGTATAGATTGAACGTTCTGTTTGTATAATTATTCTTTCTGATTCTTTTGGGTTTTATTCTCGTTTAGGATTTGAAGTTTATATGCTTATAAAAGGTCTGAAGAGCATTAGAGTAGGCAAAGTTTATTAGATCAAAGTAAGCAGGAAAGAATTTAATTATAGAGGAGAAGTTTCCTTTTAGCTTATCTTTGTTATTATTAGTTTAGCTACTGCAATAGAGATATAAGCTGCAAAATATGTTATCTGTGCTCTGATGTTGGATATCTGGAGGTTGGGTTTTGATTTCTGGATATTTATGAGTATTGGAATTTAATAGGGCAACAGCAAGAATGGGATTATTGCGATAGGTGAATTGATAAATAGCTGATTATTATTGTCAGGCTATGTAGGAATGAATTGGTACCCCTGATGAGGAAAGGATTGTAAAAGATTTATTTTCCCATATTTTCCCTCACGATTACATTGGTACCATAAGGAGATGCATGATTGGAATTAGTTTTGGACATTCCTCCCTTTGTTTGATCTTTTGAGAATGTGTTTTAATGCTTGTCCTTGAAGTATATAGAGTTTGGAACATTGAAAGCAAGATGATAAGTTGTCTTTTCTCCATTTGCTTGTTATGATTGTTAGGCACTTAGTTGCTTACCATGGTCCAAATTGGCATTAGCTTTGAGTACTGATAACCTTGTCAGAGTTTACAAAAGTCTAGAGATTGAACTTAGTTCTTTTTAGGCCCTTGTCAGAGTTTACGATAGTTGGCATTAGCTTCAATTTTTATCCCGATATGAAATTAGTTCTTTTTAAGCCCTTGTCAGAGCTTACAAAAGTCTAAGAGGCCAAACCTGAGATTTTCTTAACATTTTGATGTAATCGTTTGGTGGGCTTATCCTTTAATTGTTCTTCTATCCTAGGATTTTCATGGAGGGGATAAGGATAAGAAAATGATAGGTAAAGCATATTTTTGTTGACTTCTGCACCGAAACATTCTTTAAACTTGATATCATTGTTCAATTGGTATTCCATTTTGTTTCCTTGTCTTCTTTGCAATGTAAGCAAATGGTAGAGGTCACCTTCCAATTTCATCGAACGGAAATTTGCTTATAATCTCTTTGAGGTGGATTCAACAAGTAACCACTGATCAATATATATTCCCACCTCGCCTACTTATCAAATAAAAAAATGTAGACTCGAAGTCATATCCTTTCTTCTTCATTTACTGTATGAGCTGCTAGATATTTTTTGAAGAATTCATGAGCCCAGGTTTTCCCTGAAGATTGTTTTTGCCAACTGTTCTACGTTTCATGGCTACACATTCTCTTACTCTTGTTGCAGGAAGAAATTGATCACTTCTTTTGTGTGCACTGGTCATCTAAAAAGTATGCTTTTTTAAAACTGACCTTAGTTTGATGAAAAAAAGGTTCAGATAATCTTGATTATGATGATGACAATCATGTGCACTGTAGACCCTGGGTCTCTGGTTGATATCTCTTTTTCTCAATGAAAGCAATTT